GGTTTGAAGAGTTGTTGAAGCTGTAGATATTGGTGCGGGCTGTGGGGTTCGACGAAGAAGAGAAGCATTGCATAGTCCTGTTCCTGTCGCGAAGACTAAGAGGGAAAATTGAGTAAGGTGCATGACGCCCTCGAGTGGTCTGAACTGTCAATTATTTTTGATGCTCCAACATCTTGACGTGAGTATAGAATAGGAATGAAATCTTACCTTGGTATACTAAAATTCAACTACATATGTGACCAGCACCATTTCAATCCATCTAATCTAATCCACTCATTAATTCCTTTTTTCTGTCCCGCAGTTCTCGATTTCAATACTCCATTAACATGTACACCATACATCAAAATATCACAACCACATCAACCAAAGTGACAGAAATCGCGGGGGGAGGACAAAGCATACAGTAGTTGAGGCCGCGTGCAACCTCCACACCTACGAGTAATTCTTTCGACATGCATAACGTACACGGTTGGATTTTCCTACCCGCGATCATCTAAGGCTAGATGGCGCGTTTCATGCTAACGGTATTCACAGATTTTGCCTTGTCAAATGGTCGCAAAAATGCAAATATGCAATGGTGATGTGAGAACTTCGCATCTTGGTTACCACTAGTCTGTGCGCGAAGTGTTTGGAAATATCGTCCAATCGGGACTCAGGGTAGAATCTGATAAAGAACTATTTCATATGATAATAATTCGATAATATCCTTTATCAAGCCTGCTGTTCATAATTATCGGGGAATATATCATTGAGACTTGGTGTGGACATTCAAAAGAAGACTTCACTAGAAGTAAAATTCCAATCGCTCAAATTGACAAAATCTAAGCAAACAAATATTCAACATCTTTACAAACAACCCCAACCCAAGTTTTAGCCTATTACAAGCCTTAATCCCCAGCCAGTTCCCAATCCACATTTCTTTTCTCCTTATGCACAATAAACTCACAATGGATGTATGAAGTTTCGGGGTCAAGGTTCACGAGGGAAGTAGAAACACGCACGGATCTCACTAGTGCGACGTTGTCTCATCACGAAGCGAATCATCATGTCCAAGCCCCTGGGACCAGACTATAAACCACAGATTCAGTAATCATTCGATGCTTCTTTAATACCTTTTGCAAAGAAAGTTGAGTTTCTTTCTCGGAATATTGTGCCGATACTTTTCTTACTTTCTTGGTATGGAGAGACATGTGAATTTCACGGTGAAAAAGATTGGATAAATACTCTACCCGCTTGATGATATATTATTGCATGATTTGAAAAGCTTAGACTATCCTTGATTTCGTCCTTTCGAAATGAATTTTGAAGTCAGAAAAGGCTGGAAGTGCGTTCTTCGATTGCCAAGTAGGTCTCGAGATCCCATTGTCGCCGCAGTCTTTATCCGGGGTGTTTAAAGTCACCTCATATCAACACAGCCTCGAACGATGGTAGTAATAATATGCATTATATCTACCCGTATTGTAAGTTCTTGGCTAAACCCACCGAAAAGAGCCATCGTTCATGATAGCGATAATAATATGCATCGTCTCTCCCGCTACCCTGAAAGCAATTTAAACCTACCTAAGAAATTCCATCAGTAATGGTTGTAATGATATGCATTATCTCTGCCATCATTAAAAAATGTTAACGAAACCCAACGAAAGAAGGTCATGCAGCAGTGGTGGTTTCGAATAACATCGGACTTGCAAATTGTAGACATGTGTAGAAACACACATGATAATAGTTTACTCCTCTCGAAGTCGTTTTAGTGGATTTGGAATGTTCAATCCTAATGCTTCTGTCGACTCCGTTTGTTTGGAAGGCTCAACTGGTTCTTGAGGTTGATTGGGTCTCTTCGAATATTCTGTGACATTTGGTTCAAATGAATGCTTAACATCATCTGAAGCTTTTGACTGAAATGACTGCATTCCATCCGCTGCCTCAGACGGCTTGACTGGTGAATGTGACTGTTTCAAATCCTCTGGAATAGTCGGATTATACGTTGATTCCGATTCTTCTTGAAGATTCACTTCCTTTGATTCTTTCGGCTCCTCCAAAACATTCAGTTCTTTTGCCGGTCCCGCATCCGATCCTGTGGAGTTTTTTCGATTTTACAGTTCTCTTCGACTTCTTCGGTTCCTTGGGCTTCTTAGGAATAGATTCACGGCTTCTACCATGTCCAGGCATACCATTTTCATTTTTCGTATGCCACCTACAGTCTTCTTTATGATGGTCATTACCTCGTTTCTTTATCATTTTGAAATCGGCAAAACAACACCAGCAAAACTCGACGAGGCAATAATCACCTATTCATTAATCAAATATCTCGGTCAGCATATGAAATTATAAGGTATAACAAGAAGACAATGAAAATCATACAACATACACTCACAAGTCAAATGATCGCAACCAGTTTTCTTATGGATTCTCATTCCACATTTTGGATTTGGACAAAGTTTTGTATACTCTGCAATCCATGCTTCAGAGGCTGCTTCTTGTTGAACTCTGGCTTGATTGAAGAGGTCAAATTCTGCGCATGTGAGATCTTCGTGCCATGGTAGTTTGTGAATGAAGCATGTCTTGAAACCACATGTACTGCATGTCATCATTGGATGATCGGGTGTATGTATTTGACCTGATTCGCAAGTAGGACTAAGGCAAAAGGTAAAGTTTGGGAGATGCTGAAGAGATATATTCAATAATCTTCTTCCTTTTCTGGCACATAAATTAGTCATTATAGTGAAGATAGATTAGAAGCAATTAACTTACCTCTCCAAAACCTCCGGTGATGCATACTTCTTTATCTCCGCATCGGAAATCTTCTCTGGACACTCGGGGCATGAAATCTGATTTGATGCCTTGGTTTGAACTTGCTCGTTGATGTGTTTAGTCAAGCAATGATTACAGACCGCTGGGTGGTGTGCACACGTGCTAGTTATGCGAGTTTGTGGGAACTTTTCTGGTGTTAGGTTCTCCATACAAACCCTACACGCATCGACTGCGGCGAAGATGATATCATCATCAGATTCCTCGAGTTTCGTTTTCTTGGCTACTGGTTCATCAATAATTTTCGGTGTGATCGGTGGCTAGAATACCCAACCATTAGCAACTTCGCGGAGGCCCTTGAAACATTGATATGATATGAAACCTCAGATCAAATAAGAATAATTACCTTCATAGCATCACCTAGCAAAGCTGCAAGAGCCCTATAAGTACCTTCACCAGCAAACCAGTTCACAAGTGCTTCCTTTTCTCTCTCGCCGATGGATTTCTCGAGCTCGACAAGCTTATGAAGTGTGTCTTCTTTTCTCTCATTTCCATTTACTTGAACATTGTAGCGACGAAGCAGGCGTCTCATGGAGCTTGTCCGATGTTTGGAAGGGGGGCAGTCAAAGATTAAACCGGGAAGGTCTGGATGTTTGGGATCTGGTGCAGTAGTCATTGCTTCGGATTTTCAGGAACGAAAGCAGGAGAAAATTCTAGTGATGCAAGTAAAGCTTCAAGGTCGGAAAGATGACGAGTAATGATGTGCGAGTAAGTCAAGCATTTATAGTGTGGTTGAATTTAAGTAAAGTACAAAGTGCAGAAAAAGAAGAAGAAGAAGAAGAGTGCTGATTCAAATAGGGACGAAATGGAAAAGTATCTGAATGTGTAGATGCAGATGAATTAGTGAATTGATAGAGGGGTCATGCGCTTCCTCCTATCTTCCCCGCACCAGCGGGATGGACCTCGAGTTCAAGAGATATAAAGAATTTTTACTGTATCACTTCTGACACTCTTCGGGAGAGTTCAGTCTCGGAGCGACTGTTTGGAACATAGATGCCTTCTAGAAAAGAAGTCCCCATTTCCAAGCACAGACAAGCATCAAAATCTTTCAAGTCCAATACCTCAGTCTGGGAACCCGACCTGCGTTCACAAACTCACCATTCATATATCACCCTTCGATAAACCCCAAGGTTTCAAAGTTCACATCAGAAATAGATATGAGACCTGCGGGAATATCCTCAACGATAGTGCATCACAAGTCTTCCAACAACCATGGATAATTATCGATGAGCAAATACAATGGGTACGCGACCTTGACTACAGGTCTCTTAAAGAAGAAAACGACAACAACGTCTCGTATTCTGAGTGACGATGATTATTGGTCTACATACTGACAACCAATCCGACGATTCGCATCTTATCAATCGAACTTTTCACTTGAATGAGATGAGATACTCATCACTTGACGGAAAAAAAAACGACACGAATGGTCACTAACAACAAGGATATTTATTTCGAATATCTCCAAGAAATAGTAGCAAAGTTTCTCTGACAAATAATATGAATCGTATCTAAGATGCCGTTTGCCGTTTGCTCTTCGAATAAAATAGGAAAACGACGGCAAAAATTGTGATGGCGATATCGATCAGAACACATTCGATAATAGCCTGATATTGACTAGGAATGAGCCTGAGAAACTTGGTCATTTCGATACCTCTCATCTCTACGACAATTTCAGTCTTGTATCCTTCCTACAATCCATCGTTTAATTCCGTAAATATCGTTCAGTCGCTCAACACGACGTGAGAATCGTTTGATGATCACATGATGGTGTTAACCTTAACCTTATGTAGGTTAAGCTTGACGGCCGAAACTCTTGCACATTCCGAAAATATATGCAGTGAGACCCACAGAGCTTGAAACCTTTTGAAGGGGGGGATGTAATGTTATCTATCTTGACCTATGTAGTCAAGAGGAAGAAACAAACACTTCCTTCCAATCCCTTCCCTCTCAACTATGTGGGGGAGACGCTCAACAGCTCAAGTGAGTGTCGTCATAGAGCAGCGTGGGGTTCAGTTCTACAAGTCAAAGCTGGGATAACATCGTAGTAGCACTTCACATTCAATCAACCTCAAATATAACACTATCTATAAAATCACAATCCCCCTTTTTCTACTTCTTCTCCTTTTATTGTTCCCACTTTTCCCACTACCCCCCAAAATCATCCAAAAATCCCTCTTTTCACACCAAAAAAAATGGACGGCCTCAAACCAGCTATATCCTCCATGTCACTAGGTCGCGCCTGGATCCATTCCATGCCCATCAAACTCTCCGCCGCCTCCAACCACCACATCCACGGTCTCGAGATATTCTACGAAGATCTCGAATATCTCGCACGAACTGAATCAAACAGCGAGACCCCCTCTCCAGAAGCTCTTCTCCATGCTGCTTCTACCATAAAAGCGCTATGCGACGAACAAAACATGACTATCATCGGACTGCAACCATTTTCCTTCTACGAGGGCTTGAAAGATAGACACGAGCATGCAGAGAAGATTGAGAAAATGAAACTCTGGTTTAAAATTGTCAAGATCCTGGGAACAGATCTCATACAGATCCCCGCGAACTTCTTACCCAAGGAGAAATTAACTGATGATATGGATATCATCATTTCGGATCTTCAGGAAGTAGCCGATATGGGTGCGAAAGAGGAACCAGCCGTTCGATTCGCCTACGAGAATCTATGCTGGAGTACCTTTTTCGACACGTGGGAAGCGGGATGGGATATCGTGACGAGGGTTGATCGATAATTTTGGGTTTGTTTTAGATACGTTTAATATTGCTGGGAGGTTATATGGCGATCCATCATCTAGCGATGGAAAAACTGAAAACCCAGAGAGAGCGTTGAATGAAAGTTTGGAGAGATTGGCAAAGACGATTGATGTGAAGAAAGTTTTTAACATCCAAGTTGTTGATGCGGAGAAAATGCAAGAGCCATTAGTGATGGGGCATACATTTTGGGATGATGAACAACCTGCGCGAATGAGTTGGAGTAGGAATGCGAGGTTGTTTGCGGGGGAGAGTGAAAGGGGGGCGTATCTGCCGGTTGAAAAGGTTACGAGGATTATCGTTGAGTGTTTGGGTTATCAAGGGTGGGTTAGTATGGAATTGTTCAATAGGTCGATGGCTGAAGAAAGAGAGAATGTCCCAGATGAACATGCTAAGAGAGCAGAGGATTCTTGGAAGGTAATCAAGAGTTGGATCAAGTGGCCGAAACTTGGTGAGTGAATGGTGAAGCTCTGGACAGAATATAATGGTCTTTTGAGACGGTGAGTGCATTCTATTTAATGAGTTTTCGCGGGATCTGAAACAACTCGCACAGCTAGATATCGAACATAGGCCTAAATGCATATACAATCATATACATAATACATAATACAAAACAGTAAACAAGCGCCGCATAGGAACTTACTCCGCCTAATCTAGTAGTATAACAGAACACTGCATTCATTACCCCAGGCAATTGTGAAGCTCATCAAGTTAATCACTAACAACTTATCGAAATATAAATCTACCCCTGGCCAATGATAGAATTCCCAAAATCTAGACAACACGACTCCATATCCAGTCAACGATTTCCCTTCCAGCAGCTCTTCTTAACGATTTATCCCACGCCACCACAGTACCTCTTTCCCATCATGAGAAGAAGGAAATCATCACCTTCACCTCTTCTAGCAGATACTAGAACTTCACTGTTCTAAGCCATATTTCCCACATTTCCAAGCTAAGCATCATTCATCATTCCTGTGTTACAAGTCTCGTCAATTTCAGCGTATTTTGGCACATTTCGTCTCCCCACACAACATAATATAGAATACACACATCACTTCCATATTATCTCACGCGAAATCAGGGTAAGTAGAGCGACCAACTCTATTGCTAGTGGCAACTCATTGATCGTTAGATGTAAATACACGTCAGCCCGTAAGCAATAAGTAATGAGCTATGGTTTCCTTCGCTTATTGAAGTCGAGCATCTTGTATATACAATATTATCCCATCTTCAGCTTGTGTTTCCACGACCAGGATTCCCCACATCATGACGGACGATTGATAGACATGATGTGATGGAAGTGATAGATCACTCGGTAAGAAAGTAAGATATGAGGAGATTACGGAATGACGCTTGTAATTATCAACGTTTTGTTCTCGCATTTTTGCCATGAGAGATGTGGCAGATCGTGGAGATAGAGACTAAGTTATAAAGGGAGGATACCAAGCAAATGGACGGATTCTTCTTGGTGTCGGATATTGACGGGTAGAGAACTCTACCAAGAAGTATAGCAGTGATGCTATGCTTGAATAATACATACATTACAAAATGGCAAAGGTTCGATAAATACATTAGAAATATTTGACCCCATTGTATCAGTGTTTTATGTCAAGATATGTATGCCAAGTGTGATAATGATGAGTCTACTTAGCCCATAAGATCACTCACGTACATGAAAATGGAAATCGAATGGAAATGCACTTTGAATGAGCTACTTGCTGTATAAGAAGATGCCAGGAACTGCGATAGAACTGCTCAAACTATCGTATAGCACGTGCATGTAAAACCGTAGGAACGTACTTGCCAACTTATTGATCATCTGAGACGATATATTTGTGAAAGCAGCTTTGCATCGTCTTAGTGTTTCACTGACATACAAATCATCTGATGATATTGTTGCGGGAGGTATTATTAGCTGTGTAATAATATCTACATCCTCCTTATGAGTACTCGGAAAATTGAAGTTGCTCAATGTAAATTTCATATTTGCCATCTATCAGAGCTGATATGCGATAATGGCTTGTATCCAATCCAGGTGTTCTGTCGGGTAAATTTCCCCAAACACAGAGGTATTTCGACCCCAATTTCAAAGCTCATCTCCCAATGCTTGAGAGTGCAAAGTGTTTGGTTCATACAGGGTGGTGAGTCGGCCAGGAAAGTTTCAGGTGGTACCTTTTGCGGTGATCGAGGCGAGAGTCTTCTTGCATTCTTTCACGTTTATGATGCAGACTGCTTGTCTCGAATTTCTGCCGCCAAGTCTCCTTTCCTTCCTTTCTCGATGACGACACGCAATTCCTATGCCGCCGCGCCTATAGCACAGCTTTCCCAGCCTGACTAAAAATATCTCCCTCTTCTGTTGCGCAATGTATTCGCCATCGCTACTCTCCCTCTCCTCGAGTCCATGGAGGTATCGATGCTTGTAATCAAAGCATAGCCCCATCGCAAAAGTCTTCGCTACCGCATATGTAGACTGCCTCTTCTCCCGAATATCTCAAATCCTTTAGCATGCAGCCCCCTCACCACCAAGTCCTCTTCCTCTCTCTTCCCTTCTTCCCCTCTTCAATCTCCGTCTCCACTCCCACCACCCTTAAATTATCCTCCATGTCCACCCTTGTCGTCTTTCTCTCCCCCTCCATCGTCAAACCAACATTTTCTCCCCTCTTCCTCTCCATTCCCCGAGTACTTTCTTCAACCGTTGCTCCATTCCGCCTCATTTGTGATTCTTCAATTTTCTTTTGCAACCCCATTCTTTTACCCACTAATACTCCTCGCTGTTCTTCAAGATGAGCAATTCGTTCAGAGATTGGGGCTTCGCGGACTTTGCGAATTTGCTTCAAGGAAGGTGAAAGGTTAGCTTTTGTTTTTGAGAATGTAGTGGGAGTTGAGGTAGTAGATCTGGGTAAGAAGGAAGTACCTGTTTTTGTTCTCCCTGCGTTTTCAACCCAGCACCATATATTGTGCCCACGACTGTAACTGATGCAATTGCACCCGTCCATACTATTCTTTTCAATTTGGTGACTTGTTGCGATGTTGACATTTTGACACTCCCTGGGGTACTCAGCAATTAAGTATGTCGTCGCAAAGTTTATCGTTTGGTGATTGATAGTGAAGCTCTAGAAAAATAAATCTCGGGTTCAAACTTCACCGAAGATCTTGGACTTTTCCGATTGCCCGATAAGTCGTAAGTAGATGTCTCGAGAAACAGAAACAGAAAATCAAGTCCAAACTCCCTTCCAAATTTCATCAATTGATTGTTCTCTCTCTACTTTCTTTTCTTTCTTACTTCTCTCTCCAGTGTTAGTAAGTTTGATGTTTCCCTTCTTCTGTTTCTTTTCCATCTCTTTCACATTCTCTTTCCCTCTTTCCTTCCATCTAAATGCCATCTCCATCTCCATTTCCTCACCAATTAACTCCAGTCCTTCGATTCGCGTTCGGTGTACGGAGCTCCCGGAGCTCAAATCGACGTCATTGGTGTATCGACGTGTAAGTGAGGGGCAGAAATCCCATGGTTTGGGTTTGGGATTGTGTGTTAATAAGCTGCTTGCATGTTGATCTGATTTTGCCATTTTTATTTATTTATATTGATGTGAATGAATGTGATTTTCTTGGAAAATACTTGGCCTTTTGTGATAATTATTTATCGTTGGATTCTCGAAGTCGAAGGAGTGAGGCACAGATAATTAGGCAGGTAGGTCGATTCAATTATGTTGGTTTCCTGCACCGCCGCGGGAGAAGAGGAGAGGGAGAGGTTTGACTTTGGGACTCGGAAGAAATGGAAATGCTGTTGGAGTTTATAAAATTCGAATATATACTAATTGAGTCATAGACTTTACTTTATATAAACACGCCGTTCATTTTTGGATGATTGATTCCTTAACTTAAATCAACGATCTGCGCCAAAACAAGAATCCCCTCTACCCCTCAATTGAAAGTTAAAAGATAAACAAACATCACATCACATCCTCCTACATAATGACCACTCCTCGAGTCTTCGTGATCCGCCATGGTGAAACCGAATGGTCTCTCAATGGTCGACATACAGGCATCACAGAACTTCCTTTGACTGCCAATGGAGAAAAGAGAATTCGTGCAACGGGAAGAGCATTAATTGGTGATGATCGATTGATTGTTCCTAGAAACTTGGCTCATATGTATGTTTTTTATCTTCTCCTAGTCTGCCTCCACGGCAGTGGTTCCCGAAGGGCCAGCGGAGCGTCTTCCATTAATCATGGTATTGATATTAATGGGGGCAAGCCCCCAAACCCCCATTTGCTCGCTGCGCTCGAATGTTTAGTATCTTGTTAGGTAAATATTTACAATTCTAACAACCATCCAGCTATGTCTCCCCACGAAAACGTGCCCAAAGGACCCTCGAACTCCTCGAAGTGGGATGTGCTGAGAAACTTCCATGGGAAGAACGAAGAAAACATGTTGAATGTGGTGAATATTCATTTTCTTACCTCGATCCCTTTTTCCACACATCTATTCCATATCCTCTCCCGGTTTCCGAGCAATCCTACCTTTCAACTTCTAATATGAACATCGGCACTTGCTAATCCCCAAATTTTAGGAATCCGCACATCGGCAAAAGTAGAAATCACCGAAAACATCCGGGAATGGGATTACGGTTCTTACGAAGGAATCACCTCTGTACAAATCCGCTCTGATCGCAAAGCCGCCGGACTTCCCGAGTGGGATATTTGGCGCGATGGTTGTCCGGATGGCGAATCCCCCGAACAAGTCACCGAACGTATCGATGCTCTCATCTCGGACATTCGATCCAAATACCACGGTCCCGTAATTGGGAAAGATAAAAAGGAAGCGGGACCGGGAGATGTATTGATTGTAGCGCATGGACATATCTTGAGAGCATTTGCGATGAGATGGGTTGGAAAGACGTTACAGGATGGACCGACTTTTTTGCTCGAGGCGGGAGGAGTAGGAACGTTGAGTTATGAACATAAGAGTTTGGAGGAACCGGCTATTTTGTTGGGTGGTGCGTTTATGGTGGATGTGGTTGAGAATTCGGTGGAGGGTGAGAAGGAAAAGGAGGGGAAATAAATGAGTGGTTTTATGAGGTGAAGATGGGTTTTTGTTGATCTTTAGAGAAGCAATTAGAGAGATTTTAGAGATGTTTAGATACTTTCAATGATTAAACAACATTCAATGTATTCCTCTTCTAAATCCCTCGTCATATAAGAGTTGTTATCCATAGTAAACTCATCGTAATCTAATCCCTTCAAATACAACCAATAAAATAAAAGTAAAAGAAGGAAATGAGAAGATAAGGACCTGAAGAGAATGCTTTGTATGTTGATATATGTATAACAAATAAATATGAATTCCTAACTATTATATTCAATAACAAAGTAGGAGAGGGAGAGAGTAGAATAGAGAACCCTGAACTCTGAACCCTGAGATAGAAAGGGGGGAGAGGGGAGAGAAAATAAGCGAAGAATACATGTAAGAGTTCTGGAACCTACTCACCGCACCTCATATGATTTTGTGACAAAATCCCTGCAAAAATAGCGTTTTCCTATATAAATTAAAAAAATTAATAGCGTTTTCAATTCAAGAGACTTTATTTCGAAAATTGAATTATATATAAATCATATTATAAATTAGTTAAAAAAAAATAGTTTATTTTTAATATTTTTATAAAGAAACTATATAAGTTTGAAATTGAAAAAATTGATTTTTTTTAATTTATAATGCTTTTCTCGGGATACGATGACTCTCACCTGTACGTGGTATATCCTACAAACCTTCGATCGTGCAATCGGAGAGCTAAGTAGAGTCAGTTGGAACTGGGTGGTGGTTGTATACTAATTGGAGGCTGTATTAGGAGTGAAGATATATGCAGCTGATTATTAAAGAATAATTGCGAAAATACTCGGAACAAAGAATTATTAGCAAAACGGAGATAAAAATTATTCGATGATGAAAGGGAGATGAGAGCGGGATTGATATGGAACTATGCCTTTACGAATCTGTATAGGAAGCAGAGCTAGAGTATATTGTAGCAGAGCGTTTGCAAAGCGGAATTAGTTTTTGAAATAGCAGATAATAAATTTCTATAATATAATTGAGTCTAACTGAAACCTATATTGGAAATAGGGCCGATATTCTTAACTTGATAAACAAAAATCAATAAAATACTTTTGGGGTACTAATATATAGAGTTTTTATAATCTAATAATATATATGATTTATGGGTATATTGAATGGATATTTACAAATAATAAGAGAAATAATAGAAAGTATATAAAGACTAGAATAGTGTTTATTAGGGTTGGCAGGAGTATATATAGAATAGAAGAAGGAATGTTTTTAATATTTTATTTTTAAGTGTGTAGGAGCGATATAGTGATAGAGGAGTTCTGGTATAAGAAGAATACTTTTAATAAGCTATACTTAACAATGCTTAATCAATATTATAATAATAAAGGATTTTAGATAAAAATTAATTTTATGATATATATATATAATATATTCTAATACTTTACTTTCAATTACAAACTATATATTAGAAAAATGGATTTTACAAGCAGAACTTTGGTTAGTGGGTTGGAAATATTATAAAAGGGCTGTCTGGCTAAAGATCTGAAATAATAAGCCTGCGAGATATAGTTGGCTTTATTATATAGGAGAGATCTGATAAGGTATATAAAATGGTATTAGTTGTAAGATATAGTATATAATGATAGTGATAGTAATATTGTTTATATGGCTCAAGAGAATAGATGTGTATATCAGTCTATAATCGGATATTATAAGGTAGAGGGTATAATGAAAATATCAGATAAACTTAAAAAATAAACAAAAATAGAGGTGTAAAGGAATGATTTTAATTCTAGCCAAAACTTTCAAAGGTAATCATATAATAAATAGTTTAATGTAATCAGAAGATTCTACAGAAATCTAGTATTAATAGTTTTATTATAAGTAAACCGGGAAAGCGTTTATAGGTGTAGCGAACCTACTTTGTGTTATAATATATTCTAGAAAGTAGTTATAATATAATTCATTTCTATTACGAATCTGTGTGGGGAGCAGAGCCAGAGCATATCGCGGCAAAGCATCTGCGAAGCAGAACTAGCTCTTGAAACAGTGGATAATGAAGCTTCTATAATATAGCTGAGTCTGACTGAAGTCTATATTAGAAACAAGGCTGATATCCTTAATTTGACAAATGAAAATCAACAGAACACTTTTAAGATACTAGTGTGTAAAGTTTTTACAATCCAATAATATGTACAATCCACAGATATATCAAATCAAATATTTATAAATAGTAAGAAGAGTAATAGGAAGTATACAAAACTAGAACAGTATCTACTAGGGCTGGTGGGAGTATATATGGAGTAGGAGAAGGGACATTTTTAGTACCTTACCTTCGAATACACGAAAGTGATATAGCGGTGAAGAAATTTTAATATAGAAAAGATATTTTTAATAAACTACACTCAACAATACTCAATCGATATTACAGTAATAAAGGATTTCAGATAAAAGCTAATCTTACAATATATATATATAATACACTTTTAGTATTCTACTTTCGATTACAAATTATATATTGAGAAAATGGATTTTATAAGTAAAGCTTTGATTAGTAGGTTGGAAATACTATAAAAGGATTGCCTAACTAAAAATCTAAAATAATAAGTCTGTGAGATATAGTCGGCTTTATTGTATAGGAGAGATTCGATAAGATAATGTGAAATAATTATTAGCTATAAAGTGTAGTATATAATAACAGCAACAATAATACTGTCTATATAACTTGAAAGAATAGATGTATATATCAATCTATAATCGGATATTATAGGGCAGAGGGCATGATAAAGGTATTAGATAGATTTAAAAAGTAAACAGGAATAGAGATATAAAGAAATAGTTTTGATTTTTAACCAGAACTTCCAAAGATAATTATATAATAGATAGTTTAACATAATTAAAAGATTCTATAGAAGTCTAGTACTAATGGCTTTATCACAAGTAAACCGGGAAAGTATCTGTAGATATAGCGAACCTACTTTGTATTATAATATATTCTAGAAAGTAGTTATAATATAATTCATTTCTGCATACAGCCCACGGACCATCTGCAGCCTGCTTGCGAAAAGCGATTATTACCTGTGTACTCCCTATCGCCCTCTTCGGCTCCAAAGTATGGTTCGATGGACTATACAAACAATACCTAAATGCAAGCCATATTCCGGTCGGCATC